CAGACTATTCCCGGACTTAAGTTAGAAGCCACAGGAAGAAAAACGCGTTACCAGTGAGGGTGAAACGGATTTAAATCGACGACCTTCTGTGTTACTACGTAGACCAGCTGAAAGCATCACATTGGTGGAAAAAATTTTGCTACATGATTTGCCTTTCAGAATAACGTTTTCTGGATGCCGCTTAATATGAATCAAGAGGGTGGCAAAACTCTGAAAATGTTTGGTGTGCTGCTTTCCCGATTACATTATCCATGCTCGACGCAGTTCAGAGCAGGGCTGCTCGACTGATCGATGGTTCTTCTCTGCCGTTCTCGGGGCCTTTAGCACCTGCGGCCCGTCGGCGATCTAGCTCTCTTCTACTGCCACGTCGAGGGCTTTGCTCTTCATAGCTCTCCTCCATGATGCCGCATCGTGATGTGCCTGCCAGACATACCTGTCTGACTTCGGCTTTCCGTTCTAATTGTGACAAACTTTGTACATCCAGAACTGGACGATACGACCGCTTCTTTTGTCTCTAGGGTACCGAGATTGTGGAACAATCTACACGAGGAGGCTGTTTCCAGATCTACTAGTCTCAGGCAGTCCGAAAATCGGATAAACAAAGTTTCTTTATGCTCCTCATTGCAGTCAGAGTGAACTGGCATGTAGGCTCGTACCTAAAATAGAGTCAGTAACGGAGCTGAACATTGGCGAATACTCGCATTGCCATTATGGGATGCAAAGCACCTCATGAAGGTCACAGGACAACGGTCATTGCCATGTTGTGGTTGCATTTTTTTAAACATAATACCGAATTTCAGAATGGTAGAGCGTGAAACTGTTATACAGCATGTTCTTAAATCAAGTCAAAAGTTCCCATTTTCACCGTCACTGTAGATAAACTGAATAAATGACGATATAATAAACTGTGAACCTAATACAGTTAGACAATGGATTTCTGTACAATTTGGTGGACATGCTTTTGAGTCCGTACGACAATTAAAAAAGAAAGGAAGAACGAAAATTGGTGGAAAAATGTTGTCTTGCGTCTAATACTTCAACCACTGTACATATTGACGTGATTAAAAAAACAAATTATAGAGGAGATGTGGTTTTCATTAATGGAATCGCGCTCTGATTGGCAACTGGAGTCACACTACAAAGTGACTGAAAGCTGGGGTAATGAAACATCATTTTGATTTACCCTGTACAGTCCAACCGTAGCTACAGTCAAGAGTTCATATATATATATACTCGTATATGTATATATATATATATACAGGGTGACTTTGAAGTTGAGTCATTAATTTTCAGATAATGATTGTAGAAGGAAGATAAACCAAAATATGTGTGTAAAAATAAAAAAAAAAGTAAAAAAAAATGTTTACCTTGTTTTATAAAGTATCCTCCCGACAAGTATTTCAGTGCGGACCTGTATTTGATCGTGAGGTCCCCTGTGAGGTCTTAAGTCACCTGATTCACGAGCCCGTTGTACTACATTAACGGCACGAGGGGTTGGTTGCACTCGATTGGGAAACCGATCCGCATAAACATGTGCCATTTTTTATTTCGTTTGAGCCACGTAACATATACCACTATTCACTGACACTGACTGTATACAAATGAATGAAATAATTGTAAAAACATCGTTCCAAATTCTTTCGCTTTTTTGTTTCCGATGCGATGAACCGATACGGCGGATTATATCCGTTGTCGCCAAACACGACCACATAATATTATTATTGAGACAGGGCGGTACTCAAACTTCCAAAGGGCTATAACTTTGTTACTTTAATTTTACCAGGAAAATGGTAAAGGAAAAAACATTTCTTTTGATCAGATCTACTCACTGTTAAAATAAATGACTCAACTTCGAAGTCACCCTGTATATATATATTATGAGTCTACCGAATGTGACCAACATTTTGCTTGTTGCATTTATTTTGAACCTTGTGTGTAATTTGTGGACTGCATGAGGTACAAGATACCAGCAAGACTCTAATCCATATTAAGATGCTCACCATGTATTCATATCGATATTCGAAAGGACTTGTGTCAATATTAAATATAAATATTTCCACAAAAACTATTTGTGTTATACTTTAATAACCTGTTAGCTTACTTAGACACAGTCGCACACAAGACGGAAAATTACTATGATTTTTTATGACGCCATTAATTTAGTTGGAACTTTGCAAAATGTCAATAATATCGAACTGAATCAAAAATAGTGGATCGAAGTAGGTTGCCTCCGTTTTTCCGACACATTAGTATCAACAAGTATATTTGTAAGTACACGTTTCTCATGAATTGTTTTTTCCCGCCAAATTGATCGAATGCTAGAAGGTCGAAGCAATATATGCAACCATCACAGCCACGTCTGATTTTAGAGCTTCCAAACTATACTATACTACAACTATTTAAAACTGTAATGACTCATACGCGTGATCAACACATATTGTGTGTTTTTATAAGAATCGTTGTGTGATTGTTATTGTTGTGGTTTCTGTGGTTACTGTTTTGGTTATACTTAACCATGGAGAGTACAAATGGCACGAGTGGAAGTACTGAAAGCCAGGGAACAAGTAGACGGCTTCGTAAAACACTAAAGAGGGACACGAAAGAAATCGTGCTCAACGTGTTCAATTATCTGAACAGAACTATGTCGCAGGGAGATGCACTCGCGCGTTGTGAAAGTATGACAGGCGTTCCAGAGTGGACCATTCGCAGGTGGTGCATGAAAAGAAGAAAACTGGAGCTACTACTGATCCAAAGTTTAATTTGAAGGGACGAAAGGCCGTTAAATTGGATGACGATAGCAAAATGGCGTTAAGGGCGAACCGTACATTCATTCTTCTTTAGGAATGATATACCAACCCTCAAGGCTGTGCATGCAGCGATCAAGGAAAATGAAATTATACTCCAAATGAGCGTCGAGGTAATGAGGAAATCCCTGCACGAAATTAATTTTCGTTACGAAACGCGTAATCGGAAGTCAGTATTGTTAGAGAGACCTGAAATAGTCGCCTGGCGTCGAAAATACCTACGCGAAATGATTGAATATAGGCGACAAAGCAGAAAAATCTATTACCTGGACGAGACATGGGTAAATGCAGGTCACACAGTCAAAAAAACCTGGATAGACAAAAACGTAGTGAGTAATCGACAAGCAAGCATTGAATGTTTGTCAACAGGTCTTCGTGGACCGTCAGGGAAAGGTCAAAGATTGATCGTAACTCATATTGTAGCGATAGTGGCTTTTTAGAAGAGTGTGACTTGATTTTCGTCTCTAAGAAAGGAGGTGATTACCATGACGAAATGAATGCCAGCTGCTTCGAGAGCTGGTTTCAAGGGGTGCTTCAGCGAGTTGAGCCCAACTCTGTGATCGTCATGGATAATGCTTCCTACAATAGTCGTCGAGCCGAACGTGTACCGACTATGGGATCTCGAAAAAATGACATGCAGCAATGGTTGCGCGAAAAAGGAATCCCGTTTGACGATTCATGTGTGAAAGCGGAATTGTATGAAAAAATTAAACAGCACAAACCTGCGAACATTAGTTACGTGACTGATGAGATGGGCCGTCAATGTGGTGTCACTGTGCTGCGGTTACCGCCCTACCACTGTGAACTGAACCCAATAGAGCTCATCTGGGTTCAAGTAAAGGGTTATATTGCGTGCCATAACACAACCTTCAAATTACCAGACGTTAAGGTTTTTACTTGAGACTTCCATACAGCTAGTAATGCCCGAAGCTTGGCAGAATGCTATCCGTCATGTTGTGAAGGAAGAAACAAAAATGTGGCAGCTTGACCACCACATCGACACCATCATAGAGCCAGTTATAGTCAATTTCAACGAGGAAAGTGATAGCGACAGTTTATTACTGTCAGATGTAAGTGGAAGCGACGATGAATAAAGGTAATTCCCAAATTTTTGACTTACAATATGTTTCAAACCACTCTTTATTAATTTGTGACAAATCTAGTTCACCCATGTTAAACATTCATACCCCGCCTATGAACAGCCGACTACTGGTAGTTGAGTGATGTTCACGTGAACATCGATGAGTCATTACAGTTCTAGATAGTTATAGTTATATTTATAGCTATATCTCTGCCCCAAATAACCAAAAGGTAGAAGAGCGACAAATATCAATTTTTTACATTTAACAGGTGTAGGCCCCCATGAACTACTCAAAACAGTCAAATATCAAGTTTGTTGAGGGTCTCAGTTTTTACCTCTGTTTTTGAAAGAATTTAAAGTCTTCTATCATTAATACATCAGTTACCTTTGTGTAAAATAGCTTATTTGCTGGAGTTATTTTTAAGACACCTGTTCGGGCTCAAAACACATACAGAACATGTTTGATTCTTCATAGCGTAATCAAGCACTTGCACGGTGAACAATGCACAACCTAACACAGCTAACAGCTCTGAAAACATAGTCTGATACTGTACCGTTGTGTCTATCGCTGGCTTCTAGATAAAGCGAACGCGTTGACAGCTCGGTTAGGTTGGTGGTACCTGTACTAGAAATTGCGCTGCCATGCATCCGCGTAAAATCCCCCATCTGACAAATATTAGCCATAGTGACTCTACTAGCTCCATAATGCGTTAAAAGCACAGTCAGGAAACACAGCGAATATTTCTGTCAGGAATTCGTAGACTATACAGTTGATTAAAGATGTTATATGTTTCCTATCATTATCCCTTATTTGCTTAGCCACTAGACCAGATGAATTTATTCAACTTAGTTATAAAATGGAAAGCTTTTTGCTAAAAATTTTTGAATCGTACTATTGGGGACGAATTTCACAAAAGTACGTGCTTCAAATATTATTATCAAAGACTTACCTGACTTGGACAATTATCTCCATTTATGTAAGTAGAATATGTGCAAAGTACCAAGTCGATCTACTTGATAAATTATCTTAAGCTAATTGTTTTGCTGGTAATGCTATTTACATTATTCTTGATAAAAATGTTTACCTAAGCTGTATGTCAACGCAAGTTAAGCCTCTCGAATGTAATGTGAAGAAAGTGATCATCATACAGATAGTTGCTGGTGGTGGAAGCTACAGTATGACCGGTTTAACCGCAAGAACATTGATATGGATTATTGTTCCACTTGTGTTAGCGTCTTATTATTCGGAATACCTCTATGACACACTACAGTCAGTCATTTCTATCGGGAGAGTAAGAGAAGATTTGCAGTACAGGGTAAGCTTTGGCACTGATTAAAGTGTTCTAACTGAAGACAGAAAACCTAATGTCATATTGCCCGCGTTCAAAAGGGTATCTGAGATAAAGTGAGATGCCGTAGCGTCATCTATAAGGAATTGTCACAACTCATAAGTTGTCAATGTAACTATATTTGTCCAATAGGGACGCAGGAAAGTAAACGTCAATTTGACATAGACGCCATCTTTGTTTTCTGTCACCGATATGTCATTTGGTTAGCTGAATGTTTACCATTGATCGCTATGCAGTCGTATTCGATTGAAGACCGCATTAAAGTTATTCAAGAGCACTACAAAAATGGTGCAAAAATAAAAAACACGTTTCGCGCGCTTCGTGAACATTTCGGTCGCAACAACCGCCCAAACGAAACAACCATCGGTCGTCTGGTGCGTAAATTCGAGGCAACAGGTTCTGGGGCAAATCTGCCAGGCTCTGGCCGGCCAAGGAGCGTTCGCACACCGGAAAATATTGCTGTTGTGAAGGAGAGTGTGAGAGACGATCCGAAACAATCAACAACGCGTCGATCCCAGGAATTGGGCATTTCGAGAACCAGTTTGCTCCGCATTCTCCACAAGGATTTGAATGTACACGCCTACAAGATCCAATTGACGCAAGAGCTGCGTCAGACCTTACTTTTTCGAAAATGCGGCCGGGACGCCGTTACCGTCAATTCTGAGCGATACCACGTGATGATAGAGGACTATTTTTTGCCGCAACTTGAAGGAATGGATATGGACGATGTTTATTTCCCACAAGACGGTGCAACATGCCACACAGCCGACGTCAATATCCATCGATTGCAGTCCTTCTTCGGTGATCGCCTAATTTCGCTCAGAGGAAATGTGCCATGGCCACCAAGATCGTGCGATTTGACACATTTGTACTTCTTTTTATGGGGATATTTGAAAAGCAAAGTCTACGTCAACAAACCAGCCACCCTCCAAGAACTCAAAAACAACATCATTGCCGAGATAAATGCCATAGAACCGACCATGTTGCAAAATGTCATTGAAAATTTCGACCATCGCGTGGAAGTCTGTAAATCCAGTCGTGGTAAACATTTGAGCGATATTATTTTTCATACATAAATGGTATAAATGAACCTTCAAAATAAAGTACCCAACTTGATTTGAATATCAATCTTTCTTGTTTTAATATGCGTTTACTTTCCTGCGTCCGTTTTGGACAACCCCATTATAACATAACAAAATTCCGAAAAATGCGCTGGTTTCAGAGTTTGCTTATTTCCAAAAATCTTAAAACCTAGCTGACACCTTGGCTCTGGTAAGTGGATGGAGCATAAGGAGGGCGTGGTCGATAGATTTTTTCATCGTATTTCCATATTATCTAGTCTATTTTTGAGCAATCTCAGAAACTTTGCCACATGTCGACAGGATATCATTGTCTACATGACATGAGCCATCCAAGATGCGACAAAACAGTTTGCTAGAAAAGTTATCAGATAAAATAGTCTAAAAGAAAAACAGTTTTTTCAAAAAGCTATGGGCTTATGACATTTATATACTTTAACTTTATGCGGACACGAGATCTAAACTCGGTCGCATGTTTTCGAGAAAGTATAGAAAAAGGATTTAAAAAAAAATGGGCCATAAAAATTCGTAAGTTTTTGAATGAAACCTAATAACAGCATTATTGAAGCATGTTCCACTACAGACCTTCAGTCTCTGCTAATGCCAGCAAATACTATATTGCTCACGAAGATCATTCAAGTTTCATCTTATTTTCAAAGTTGGTACCGAAATGGTTCTTTTTTGCAAAAAGAAACGTTTTCTAAATTCTACTACACGCGACTACCGCGCCATTAAAAACTTCTTTACCTATAATATTGCCGTATCAATCTTGCAATAAGTAGGGAACCTAAAAATTTCCAACAACCATTGCAGAAATCCCCAAGCTAATACAGAAACAGATACAGTAGACATAATTCCCAGATTACGATCATTTACGAAAACAAATAATGAAGTGGAATATTACTGAAAATCTGTGTGATAAGAACCAGGATCAAACAGACCGTCATAAAATTCAAGTACATTTCTAAAGAACACAAAAACCCAACTACAGTTACAGACATGAAGGAAGCTTCAGTTGTGACATCAAGACAAATCTGAAGTTGAATTATTAAGTTTGCGTTTAAAATCCGTGATTTTGATTTTATTAAATTTTAGTGCCACCCGTTTTGCCTCAGCTTGAAAGTTCTCGCGAAAGTATCAATCTCACCATTTGTCAAAGTTCCAAAGATGCTCACTTACGAAAATTGTTGTGCCAAATAGGCAGCTTGTAAGGTATTTTGTAAGCAGATTTTACTAAGTTATTTATTTCTCAACAATTTAATTAATGGCAAGCAATCAAATTACGGAATGGCTGTTGCTTTTTTCAATTTCTAAGTGCAGTGGAGGTTGAGGAATAAATCAGTCTTCATTTGTGTTGTGTTGGTCTCTACATGGGTTTCAAATAAAAGAGCTTAATGAGAAATCACAGTAAATATAAATGACGTCATTCTGGTGGCGGCCGCTGTTGAATGGCGATCTATAATTAACGTGCTCACCACTATGATATGGGTATCAAACAAACAGGCTTAATGAGAGAGACACGATTAGCAAACAAGGCAATTCTTAATTCCATATTGCGATCACCGCAAAAATATCGATTTACCATATACGATATATATCTACCAAAATTCAATCATACAAATCAAGTAAAAAGTGTTATGGAGTAATAAAATATATGAAAGTCATATAAGAATTTCAAATTAGTTATTTGACATAAAACACGGTTTTAAAAACAACCTTTATGTAGCTGTTCATAAAATTAACTAAGAATTTAAAAAGATTTTTGCCAATTGGAAATATTTTAACGTAATATCGAACTGTCAATTTGGGTTCCGCAAAAATTGCAATACACAGCAATCTCTACAAGAACTTACAGGACAAGTGCTTGAAAATTTTCAAGATGGAAATAAGACTGTTGCAGTTTTCCTAGATCTTCAAAAGGCTTTCGATTCAGTATCTCATACAATTTTATTAAAGAAACTAGAAAGTGTTGGAGTGCGTAGTGGAGTTCTGAACTTATTTGAAAACTATCTGGCTGATCGATTACAACAAGTTAAGGTAGGGTCAGATTTAAGCAGCATTCAAAAGATCAAAATAGGTGTGCCTCAGGGGACGGTTTTGGGACCAACACTGTTCCTCATATACATAAATGAACTACTTCAATGCAATTTCAACTGTAAAATGATATCATATGCAGACGATACTGTTTTAGTTTGCACTGGTCATTCATGGAATGACGCAATTCGGAATGCCGAGTTGCCATTAAATAAAGTCAAATGCTGGTTGGATAACAATTTACTTAAACTTAATATCTCTAAAACTAAGTATGTAACGTTTTCTCCAACCAAAGCAGGCATGCCATTACAACACCGATCATTAATTATAAATGATAGTGCTGACACTGTCGAAAGAGTTGAAGTTATTACATACTTAGGAATCACTGTTGACAGTAATTTAAAATGGCAGAGTCATGCCGAGCTTTTAGCATCGAAATTAAGGAGAATTATTCATATGTTGTTCATTCTTAGGAATATTTTAAGCAGAAAGTGTCTTCTCTCAATATATAACTCGTTTGTGGGGTCTCTACTAACTTACGGGATAAGTATATGGGGAGCCGCATACACTAGTACTTTAAAAATACTACAAACCACGCAAAATTATATTTTCAGGACTATTTTTCATATCCCATGTAGGTCAAGTTGCAGATTTGTTTACATTGAAAATGATCTTTTGAATGTTAGAGGTTTATACATTTTTGCTGCTCTGAAATTTGTTCACTCCAGAAACAAAGTTCCAACCAGCCACGCTTATGAAACAAGAACTAAAATAAATATAAGTTACACTTATAAAAGAGCGAATAAATCTGTTTGCTAAAAATGCATAAAGTTTGATGGTATTAAGTTGTATAATAAATTACCCCTAGAATATAAAATCCTCTCGAAGTATAGTTTCAAAAAAAGAATTAAGAAGTTCATCTTAAATAACTTTGACATGCTTGCATCGACTGTCGCTTGACTCAACTCAGTCATTTCGTTTCGATCTAATGTTTTTTTTTATTTATTTTTTTATATACATTTGCTCATAATATACTTTATGACCATTAGCCATGGATTGAATTTGTATATTGTATGACACGCACAAGCTTATAGCTTAGGTGTCTATTCTTTTGTAGTAAATTGTAGTACTCTTGTTTCTCTGCTTAACCTTTAGGCAAAATTTTTATTGTCTAAACAACATAGTTTGACCTTACTCGAAATATCCCTATATTATCATATTTCAGATATTCATATTTTATGTACTCTATGTTTATACTTCTGAGTGTTTTTAGTATGCTTCTGTACTATAGTTATGCATTTTAGATTTGTTTATTCAGACACTTAATTTAGGATTTGTGACGATAGATCTGATGCTAGTATCTTTGCTTAGATTTCTGTTGCAATCTTGGTTATTCAGGGTAGCAAGACCATACAAGCTCATGTATTTTTGAAACTGTTTTTTATTTAAATTGTACTGAAAGCTGTTTTTAATTTGTAAGTTATATTGGTTTTGAATTTGAATAAACTTTGAACTTTGTTTATCTCAAGTTTCAAATAGTCATGCCTTTATTTGAAAACTTGGGATGAGATGGCTTCATTGTCATTTAAATACTTCCAATCGGAATAATTATTTTCAAATTTATGTGCAGCTAAACAAAAGCTTGTTTTTGAAAATGAATTTTTTATTTTATTTATTAACATTTTGATATCGTTTGCAGATCGTAGATGGACCAGCCGGTATATTCGCAAGCACAATATACGGAGATGTCAAAGGGAAAGTGCTGAAAACACCTAATGGGCTGGAGTTTTATACTTTTCTAGATATTCCTTATGCAACTCCACCAGTAGAATCATTGCGATTCAAGGTCAGTATGCAAACAGATATTATCTATGGCAGTTCAAGACATATAGCCTTTGATCACTGACTTTGGATGCTTATCCATGCAGTACTCTTTTTCTCACGACGAGTGTTTTTCCAGTTAAGCTCAAGGTCAGATCTTTGCTTATCTTGAATTGGGTGATATTCGATTTTGACCTTGAGCTCAACATTGAAGGCAATTTCAAAGACAAATTGTATTTTGAAATGGACAACCCCTTCTTGACGATGGGGGTGAAAAACTGGAAAATCTTAGACCAAGGTCATCTATAATGGTCAGATGTATGTTAAATGTGTGAGGCTAGATGGTAACCAAGGCCACACCTTTGGCAATTTTTAACAGGGATTTCAATTGACCTTGGATTTGACGTTGAGTCTCTCACCTTCATAGTCATTATAGTACAAAAGGAGGTATTAGGACGTATTGCTGTATTACCAATCTCAAAGGGAAGGGTCCCAAGTTAAACAAAGTTGACCTTGAACTGACTTTGGAGGTGGGGTTCAATGACGAATTCAAAGTCACGACTAGGATCTTCGTGAAAATGCCTATCCTTGATAATCCTATAACTTTTCTCATCAATAGTCCTGCCAAACTTTTTTGAATCTTTCCTAGCCTCACATATTTGACCTTCATTTGACCCTTTTTTGGTGACGTTGATATTAAATTGTGATACATATTATTTTTCCTTTCCGGAAGCCGTCGGGCCAAATCCCCCGATGGCACTGCAAATACTAGCGCTTAATCTTGTGCCCTGCACCTCTAATTTACAATACCCAGTCCAGCAGTCTAGTGTTCTGAACCAGATGGTACACTTTTCGCACTCACATAAGACATGTAGGGCTGATTCTGTTACTTTTCCGCATTGTCTCCAGCTAAGGTCTCCATCGCATAGCCCTATTTTGCTCAAGTGTTCTTTCAGGCCAGTGTGTCCTATTAGAGACCCTGAAACTGCACGGAGTTGGTTTGTTTGGACATGGTCCCGAAAATAATCCTTTCCCAGGCCCACATCCAGTCACTAAGTGCCAAAGTCGCTTGTGCTTACTAGGTTCCTTATTATGCTTTTTGCCACCACCAAGGCAAGTGCTGGGCGTCTATAGGGCGTAGATGATCGCTTCCTTGCGAGCTCATCCGCCCTTTCATTCCCACGTTGCTGCTGATTGTCCCGGCACAAAATCAGTGTAGCTCTGTTGTCTTCTGCCAGATTGTTCAGTTCTTGTTGGAATTTCAGAAAAGTGTAGATGTCACCCTAGGGCTTCTTAACGCTATGCATAATGCAAGATTGCATACACTTCTGCTTAAAATACATACCTGAACTTGAAATTTTCCGTTCATTCGTTTGCCGGTCTCAGAAAGGGGGCTTGCTACCTGAAGAGCAACGACTGATTTTGAAATGACTTTGAAAAAAAGGTCAAATCCATCCTCGTAACTAAACTCCTCCTGCAAAGTTGTTAAAGATCTGAACTTGATTTAATTTACCTTAGATGGAAGAATACAGAGACTTTTCGCTGCTTTTAATACACCTGTTAGAGAAGTATCTCAAAACTTATCAGAACATGTTAATCCACCAGTCACATCTTGGACCTTTTACAGTACTGTTAGCTAAATGAGAACTGAGGGAAAAGGGATAGTCCTATTGATTTCAGTGCTTCCATGTTGCAGAGGCCTTTACCTCCAAAGCCATGGAAAGGAATCCTAGACGCAACAGAGAACAAGAAGATATGTTGGAACCTGGCTATAATTGACATAGAAGATGATCCAAGACAAAATGAAGATTGCCTATATCTGAATGTGTATGTTCCGAAGGTATGCATGTAGTACGTTATGACCCAAAACATTCTATTTAGAATAAATTATTGGAAAAAGCCGCTAGTACTTTGTCGGAGCGCCGTATAGCAGCTTCTCAATAACGTTTTAAGAACTTTCCACCAATATCCCCATTTTTAATAATAACATTTCAAATGAATTATAACATAATTTGTAACCATTTAAGTTTGTACTTGGGCCTTTCTGAACTGCAACAGTTCTCACATTATGATAAAATAGGCCCGCTCGCTCGGGGATATGTTACAGAGTCCATCCAACAAGGGATTATTACCAGTAATGTTCTACATTACGGGTGGCATGTTCGCGTTCAACGACGGTACATTCAAGAGCTGGAAGCCATACAACTTTGTCGAGAGGGATATTATAATGGTAGCCATGAACTTCCGTCAGGGCCCCTTAGGTAACATAACTCATTACTAACTAGTATCTGATATTTACTAGTGCTTATTTTCATTCATATGAGCCACATGGCTCGGGATCATTGATGATTTTACTTTACATTGTAGATTTATACGATAACTTCACGGCTACATGAGCTCAGTTTTTTTGCCGGATTCATAAGATATCTGGACCAGAGTGTGTATTCAATGTCGACAATGTCCACGAGTCCATGTCGCTAGTAAATGCAGATCTTGACAGTGCTAATATGTACAGCAGCTCTCACAACTTAACACGAAATCTCTCAAAATAAATAAGCACTCTTAACATAATCTTTGTGTGAATGTCAATAGGGTATTTTGCTCCGCAGGATTGTTGACTACAAACGACGGGGTGATACCGGGAAATTTGGCACTATGGGATCAGAACATGGCATTGAAATGGGTGCAGAAAAACATTGAGAGGTTTGGAGGTGATCCCAAGAAGGTTACGATAAACGGGCACAGCTCTGGCGGAGCTTTTGCCACAGCGCATTTGCTCAGCAAACATTCTAAAGGTACAGTTCTATATTCAAGCTCTTGATCTACACAAGAGAGAAACCTTTTCCTGGAAGCTTGGCCATATTTTTAGAAAAATCCATTACATCTGCGGGTAAAAGCGGCCTTTTCATGTTTACCCTATTATACTCGTAGATTTGGAAACAGCGTCACTATCTATACTAAGTGACATATAAATCCGAACACCCAGTTTAAATGGTTTTATTTTAATAAAAGTTGGTGAATGTATTTATCTTACTGTAAATAACAAGTGAAAAAATTTTCAGCCTTATCAGTTGGACATTCCGGTTCTTATACTGCTTTTTCTTAATTCACTAACGCTCTAAAAATGAATATTTCAGCCGCAGTAAAGAATCAACGTTGGCGGATTTTGGTTCTTGACACCCTTTACGATCGGTTACGATGCCTAGAGTACGGAGACCTGTACGATTTCGTCAACTTAGTGAGTTTGATAAGGGCCGTATGGTGGGACTTCGGGAAGCTGGACTTTCTTTTCGGGCAATTGCAGTTAGAGTGCAAAGAAGTGTAGACATTGTGGTTAGGTGTTGTCAGGCATGGCTTCGTGAAGGCCGTACGCAAAGAGCAAGGGGCACTGGACGCCGCCGTAGAACAACAGACCGTGAAGATCGCCGCCTAAGATTATTGGCCTTAAGGGACCGTTTCTCCACTACCAGGTCCATTGCAAATGAATGGTTTGTAGAACACGGAAGACCTATTGGCATGCGAAGTGTTTACCGACGAATGAGAAGTTTTGGCTTGTTTTCATACCGGCCACACTGGGTCCTCCCTTTAACTCGAGAACACCGACGTAATCGCCTTGAGTGGTGCAGGCAACGGTCACAGTTTTTTGTTGAAAGACATGTTTGGGGTGCTATAGCTTATGGTTCCAGGTCACCTTTAAACTTCATCAGAGCACGCGCAGCGTTATATCCACGAAGTTCTAGAACCCCATCTTTTACCCTATCTTGACATCCTGGCAGATCCAACTTTCCAACAAGATAATGCCCGACCACATGTTGCAAGAGTCACAATAGACTTCTTTCAACATAATGATGTCACATTGTTACCATGGCCACCAAGATCTCCCGACTTATCCCCAATTGAGCACGTGTGGGATATGTTGGGTAGGAGATTGCTCTATTTGCAACGTCCTCCTCAGACTCTAGAAGCACTTCGAGAGGAGTTGGTGGTTGTCTGGAATGAGATACCACAGGAGGACATTGACCACCTGATCAGAAGCATGCCTAGGCGCGTTGGAGAATGCGTAGCACATCAGGGTGCATCCACACATATTAAAGATCAAAGGCTTTAAAGCAGTGCAATCATTTTTAAATTTTTATCATTTACTTATTAAAGTACTTATACAAAATTTTATTAAAATAAAACGATTTAAACTGGGTGTTCGGATTTATATGTCACTTAGTATATCTTTATATCGTTCTTTCTTGCTTAGAATACTGGTGTTATGCAGGTTACTTCCTAGATATGTGGCAGGATTTTTTCTGTTTCTGAATCTACAAGAACTATTCTAAACACTAGCTAGAACGTCATTCTCCAAGCTTTGTACGACTTCTTAGGTCCTTCGCCTTTTCTATTGGAGTAAAGTAGTATACGGTCTCTCAGGGAACGGGGCTTTAGTCCAAGGTTTGGACTCAAGTTGAAAGTCTCTGAGGAGGGAGTTTGATTTTATTTGTACTCGGTCATTCGATACAGATTTTGTAGATTAATAAGATTAACGTGTCATATTTGATAATATTAGTTTGAGAACATTTTAATCGCTATGCATTGGTCGTGTTTCGAAAATTAACAAAGACGAAATAATTTTAGTATAGTCCAAAAGTTTCTCCTTGTAAATTTTCTCCTAATTTTTTGTAAACGTGTTATCTGCGAATATGGATTACTTTACAGGTCTTTCAGCGGAGTTATTGCCCAAAGCGGTGCTATCACAGGCATGGACTATCTTCAGCCTTATCCCAAGTACAATGCTTACAAGCTTGCTAACACTATTGATCCAAGCATTACTACTCAGAATTCTTCGGAGGAGTTACTTGCCTTCCTCATGACCGTCCCTGCTAAAACTCTTTCTGATACCACCAAGATACACGTAAGTTATGTACAAAACGACAAAAAAAATAGAACACCCAGTAAGAATTTTTTTTGTGAAATGTTGTATACAGTTAGACATAATCAAAAGGGAGTTGTGATTAGATTTTGATGTGAAAACGTTGAGAGCGTTCAGCCAACGTGAAGCGGTCCAGCAATGCCGCGCTTTTATGCTGAAATAGCAGTAGCCGTGGAATAACTTTGACAGTTCGTCACATTAATGAGCTTGAAAAAAAAAAAGTTATCACCAGTCGTGCCTACAATTGTAGGACGCCTAAATGGCCTCCTTCTACTGTTCCGTTGAGGTTATAAAGGAAACATAACCTCACAATAGGCGAGCGCTGAATCTGACACGAGACAGTAGAAATCTAGAAATAGCCCAGCCACCTCTAAAGGAGAGAAAAGGAGTCTATGAACATCAAGGAGGCCATAAAGGCTTCCATCAATAAATAAATCGAGATATAAAAAATCCGAGAGAATAACCGTTACTTCAAAGTATGTTTTCAGGAAAATATTTTTCTCTATCGAAGATTGACTGATGTGACGGTATTTGTTTGGCTCTGTCAAATAAGGTTCTTACAATATCATTTTTTATATTCGTTGCGTGATTAAGAATCATAGGTAAATATTTGATACTGGTGGTTGTTGGTTCTCTACATACTGAATGTGGTTTTAGTAAATTCTTGGTCATTAATGTGAATGGCTGGGCAAGGACGTTAGAATGATGACGTTACCATTTCACGTCCGTAATGGGCATTCACGGCTAATAACGTCAGTGCCCAATTATCATTACTGCGTGTAACATACAGTATAGATTCAAGACAGTGCAATGGCTTACGTTACTTCTTTTAATTTTGATACCCGACTAGAATAATATCCAATCTGTACACTTGTTCGCGTTGTTTACGAGAGATGTCATTTAAGTTTCGCATATAGAAACACAGTAGGCCGCGCGGATCGAACTTCAGTACTGAATCTTAACCTCAATCTTTAGTAAACTTAAATTCAAAGTTTCACGACAATACGTGTAGTGTTCTCACTACAGTGAATTTTTAAGTGTCACCAAGTCATTAGAAAAATGGAACTCAACCGAGAACATTTTCGCGCCATAATTTATTACAACTTCCAGAGACAATTATCGCAACAAGAATGCCTTGCTGAGTTACTGTCTGTTTTCGGCAACGAAGAGCCACATCAGTCGACAATTTCCCGTTGGTATGGAGAATTCAAACGTGGACCTAGAGTCTTAGCGACGATCCCAGGGTGAGTGTACCAAAAACGGCAGTCATCCAGGAAAACGTCGATGCTGTGCGCAAACTCATCATTGAAGATAGACATGTGACATATCGCGAGATTGAGGCGTCCTTGAAGATCTCAAAGACCGCAATTCAAAAAATTTTCCATGCAGAATTAGGAGTAAGAAAATTAGTTTCTCGTTGGATACCCCCACCTGTTGACTGAAGAGCAGAAAGGAGTCAGGGTTAATTGGTTTTAATTCCGGAAACTCAAAAAATGTGTACAGCATTGTCAGTGGTGATGAATCGTGGATTTACTGTTATGAACCAGAAAATCAACGCCGACTGTTTGGGTGTTCCAATATGAATAAAAGCCAACAAAAGTAATCCGTTCTCGAAGTGTTTCGTAAAAGATGGTCGCGACATTTGGGTCAAAAGTGGGGTCATATTGCAACAATTCCTCTTGATGAGCAAAGGACTGTTACTGTGTATACCACCATTTGTTTGCCAAAAGTCGTCACCGAGCTTCGAAAAATCAACCCCCAAGAAGAATCATCCTCCACCAAGTCAATGCAAGCTCGCACACAGCCCAAAAAATAAGGCAGTATTTGACGGAAGAAAACGTGGGATTATTGGACCATTCTCCATATAGTCCTAACGATTTCTTTACTTTCCCGAAAATTAAAAACAGACTGCGTGGTCAAAGGTTCCAGTCACCAGAAGAAGCTGTTGACGCATTTCAAAAATCCCGTTTTGGATCTGCCAGCAAACGAGTGGAATAAGTGCTTCGAAAATTGGTTCGAGCGCATGCTGATGTGTATTAATCTTCATGGAGAATACTTCGAAAAACAACAAAGTCATTTAAAACTACCAACCGTGATGTTTTATTTTCCATATGCAAACTTAAAAGATATCCCTCGTATACAATCAGTAGTAGCTTCAACCACTCAGATATGCCTTGATTAACTATGATTTCTATGTTACACTTTCCAGCCAGATCCCGAGCACGATACCAGAGTGGTCATTGGTTTCGAATACGAACTGATATGGAAACCAGTAATGGAGCCTAGTGATGATGAAGATGCCTATTTTAGTGGGTATCCAGACGATAAGTTCCGAGAAGGCATTTTCAACAAGGTGCCAGTTATGGTAGGAATTACGTCGGAAGAAGGGGCACTAATAGGTAAAAAAATCTGTCATTGTTTGCTTTACCTTGACTGAGCACATTGCTTTTCCTTTCCGTCGGCAAATATCTGAACTTTCCCTGAAGAAGACCGGCCTATAAGTCCAGTCTGTGGTAGTTCGTACAAAATGTTGTTTAATCAACGTTGCTAAGGTCACCTAGCCTTATTGTAACTGGCAGTTTAACTGAAAAACGGTAATACCTTCTGGGCGCAAGTCTGTCAATAGACATTTTTTCAAGCTAGGAAACCGGAATTATTTTTTAAGACTCTATTAGAACTGCTATAAAATATGGTATGTTAAAAAAATTAAAAGTTATAAAATTTTCTTTAAATTGAATACTTACATGTAATATAATAGGGCTTTGCTTCCTGCGACTCAATGTACAGAACACTCAAAGACCTGGCCTATCAGGTGGCCATTTAAAAAGCGAGTGATATAAGCTCTGGGGTTTACTTATCAGGAGATTTGAAATAAGCTCGTTCCATTTAAAAATGTTCCAAAACGGCGCTCAGCCGCCATAGGTTTTCAAGTTTTTATTCTAAAATGTACTCATAGTATTCGTATAACAATTTGATTACCGGAAATTCAGTTCTCCACATTCACTCATTCAAAGATAAGCAGACCGTCGATTGTTGTAAAACTACAAGCAATGAAAAGTTTTGTTGCCTGGAAATATGTGCCTGGAGGCTGGCTATCGTTAATTTTAAACAAATGACAACTCAAGCCATTGTTTGTATTTTAGGAGGTTGGAAAGACAGAATAGAACTTATTGACGATCATCCCGAACTGCTTTACAGTCAAGTGGAAGGCTTAACAGAAAGAGAAAAGAGAGAACTAGGAGAGAAAATGATAAGGGTATACACTGAAGGGAAATTAGAGAAAAATTTGACAGCTGCGGTGAAAGTTAGTATTCATATGTTCAGTTACAGAACCTTATTTATGTAGCGTAGTGGCTATCTAAGACTAAGATCAGATGACGTGCATTCGACGCGCATGCGCCTAAAAACCCAGAATACTATTGTCCGTGTAACAAAGAAAGTAAACTAAATCTAAACAGATTCACTCATAGTTCATTTGATCGGACTCCAGAACGCCGAGTTCGTTACAGGGCCGGACTAAGGTATGATTTGTTGTTCTGCAACTCAATTGACAAATATGCGTGTACAGAGTCGAAACGAAAAGTTTGGAATTAATATTTTTTCAAAGTGTAACTTTCTTGACAAAAAAACTTAGAGCTGTGGATGGCTGATTTAATATAAGGTAATTTACACTAATAACACATTCTGAGAAAAGAGGAAAACAGCACTTTTCGATTTAAGTTTATCGCTATAAGAAAATATTACATACAAATTTCTAGCTGGCTGCGACACGGGTTACCGTTCACCGAATTTTTCCAAACTTTGAGGTAAATTACTTTTATTAGAATTTTTACAAAATGTTATTTTAAGTAAGTAATAATTATTATCATACTAGACGAAGATACCCCTGGTTTGCGAAATAATTGTAAAGTCTGGTTCTATTGCTGAAAGTTGTTCCAGTGGGTATTTAAAACATGGAGGCATAAAATGAGTACTCCAAATTTTTTTGGGAAAACTTTTTATTCGACAACAAAGAATGAGAAGACGTGTTTTCTGAGATTCAATCGAAAGTGTTGACAGAAATGAAAATACTCTTCATATAAAATATTTAGGTGTTTATGAGTCCTACAAAATGAGACCACAAGTAAAAAGTATAACACGTCATACGTTGACGTTGCCAAACCTTAGTTATTTAAAAAAGCAGAATTTCATAGCTACGCCTTTAAATGATCATTTGTTTCGCATACGTGATTTACCCCAAAATCACTACTGGGATTACAAAATAAATTTCTTGTTGTCATTGTTACCTATTTTTCTTCACAAGATGACATAGTCAAAATCTCAATTCGACATTTCTTCTTTTGACTTCCATCAGCAAATCTGATTTCCCATATGGACGCTATATTAGAATTATATACATCTAAGGGTACCTTTCAGTACTAAATTCAATCCTTAATCGACCATGAATTTGTTGTTGGATGAAAATTATAAGGAAATAAAAAGGTATAGTAAAACCTGAACACAAAATGAAAATTTTATTTATGGTAATAACAACAATTAATAATCATAAATAAGCAGAAGTAAATCATAGCAGATGTTCAAAATGTTGTCCGTTATTTTGTAGGCGAAGTTTACTCTTCTCTGTACGTTGTTTACTGCTCGATTTATTTCTCTTCTTCTGTCTTCCAAACCCTGTTGCGATACGGAACAAATGAAATCTGATAATTTGAAGGCCTACCTAGGAGCTTCTGTTTCTTTGGAGTAACTAAGGTTTGGTAAATGTCAGTGTATGACATACATTTTTGAAGTAAAATCAAGTCAAATAAAAAAAACAAAGTTGATGCTGCAGTACAAGAGACAAAGCGTGAAATCCTAATTATGCCATCTTGTAGAGAAAAAAACAGTGGCAATGTTGAAATGCTATTTATTTTGGAATCCCAAGTCAAATAAAGTTGTACGCGTGCCTTTTAACCACTGAATCAACAACCCCGCACCACGTGGACGCGCATGATCTGAACTAAGTCTGAGTGATTGTCTACGGTATTAAGCATGACCTATGGTAGTATTACGTGCTGAGAATATAGCAGTACCAGTAAGCCCCGATGTTTTACTAGGCTATGATAGCTTGAACACTCTTTTTTAGGCCAATCAGTGGTTTTTCACCGCTGTGACTTGAGTGCGCGAATTACTTAACCCGAATTTACGGGTAACTTATGTTAAGTTAGAGTAGCCTTGCACCGTCAATGTTTAACTCTGAGTTCATAAATCTAAACGAACTGTCACCTTGACAGCTTTGAAATTTACTAATATTTCTAAGAATTGATACATTTATTGACAATACTGCGAGAGAATATAGTTCTGCTTTAACAGTTTGTTACAATTTGAAACAGGGTTTTGACATTTAGTACTGTCTGACAGAATTGTCTACAAATGTCTACAAAGCACCCTGGTTATTTGGTAGCTCCTTTTTAAATTATAGAACCAACTATGAACGGAGAATTCGACCAGGTTGACCCGTTTCCTCTGGAATTGTTGGGGTATGCCCAGATGAATCTACTAGTGACAAGTGCATTTCCAGACAACAGATGGCTGGTAAACATGTTGAGAAAACAAAAATTTCACCTTACTCAGCGGAGGTATCATGTTCACTCGTCATCATTAAATGATTTTACATTTCTGAGTAATACTCAGCAGAAGCATTTTCTCTTCGTTAGTGAAGTTTTTAGTACGAGATCTCTACAGGAAAATTTCAACAGCATAAAAAACATTTTCAAATCGTTGGTTTGTATGATTTGCTGTGACTTGATAATAACGAACCACAACTTGTCAAATGAAGAAGAAAATAAAAAGAAGAAAGAGAACAAGTAGCTTTAATTAACATGCTCATGATCAATAGATGGAGACGATTGTAGCTGTGTGGTGGATGTGGTCTACTTGTTATGGAACAAAATAAACAAGCAATGCTTTTCACCGTTTGACCATATAGAGCTCTTTCGAGCTTTTGGGTTACTCCTTGGCATGGTCTAGGCTTGGGTCTCTCTAGCAACAGATGAAAGCATAGCAACTATTCACTATCCAAGGTGTAAATAAAAGAGCGTGAGTCGCCATCTGCGATTCACTGTCCGTAGTGATCGATTCTAGTGGTAAATAGAGCGTCACGCTGTGTTATTTAGGTAGATCACGCATTTTGGATAGAGTATAGTTGCTATGTATGAAGTAGCTGACCATGGTTGGACAGACGAAAAGCAGAGCATGTTCATTTTTTCAATGGCAGGTAGACCACGAATAATATTATACAGGGTGGCGCATCGAAAACGAAACAGACGCATTTACTGGCAGCTCAATTTTGTTTTTGGAAAAACGCTCAGACCCGTCGATTTTGTTCTCGAGGGGGACACAAGTTTGGCAAAAAATTACGTTAACACGTGCAGTCCCCTGGGTGGGGGTGACACCAACCATAAAATCTTAAATGGAAAGGGGGGTCGAGTTATACCTTATTTTAAAGGTCTTTCAATTCCCTTTATAATGATGCAAAATACATGAGCTTCAGTTCAGTAGTTTTGAATATTTATTGGTTTAAAGCTTAAAGTTGACTTTAATAGGTACATCAGATTAGTTTGTACTACCTTCAGAAGAAATTTGACTAAAAAAATTACTTAATAATAAAAGCTTTTCTTCACTACGCCCATGGTTTGTTTATCATTTTGTTGTTGAAAATAGCTATTGTAGCGTTTTTTGTGTCTGTTCTACAGGGTGTTCATTTGAAAGCTTCCCATCACGGATTTATCGAAAAAGTTATTTCTTATTAGTCGACGTACTGTCCAACGGATTCTAAAGGCCCATAGTTTTCCTCCATATAAAATTCACCTGGTACAAGAACTTAATGAAGACGATTTTAATCGGCGATTACAATTTTGTGAAGATATGAGTGAACGAATTATAAAAGATGAACATTTTCTATTCATCACTTGCTTTTCCGACAAATGTTCCTTTTTCTTAAATGGCGTAGTAAATCGTCATAAATGCCGATATTGGTCCGATTCTAATCCCAGAATTTATCATGAGGTTCATACACAGCAGCCACAAAAATTAAATGTTTGGGCTGGTATTTTTGGCGATCATTTAGTGGTGCTTTCTTACCTGGAAATTTCTCCGGTGAAATATATTTGAAATTACTGGAAGACGCCATAGATCCTGCATTAACAGCCATAATTGAAAGTCAGAGTGTGATCGGCGGGTAGATTGCGAATAGGTTGATGTTCCAGCAGGATGGTGCCCCACCACATTACGCATTATGTGTTCGACAATATTTAGATCAGACGTTTCCAGATCGATGGACTGGTAGAAGAGGTGCCATTGAATGGCCCCCAAGATCGCCGGATTATCACCTTTGGATTTCTTTATGTGGGGTTATTTAAAAAGCAAAATCTATGCTACTCTGCCAACATCATTAGAAGACCTGCGACAAAGAATTGTGAATGAGTCCCTTCAAATTACTCCTCAATATTGCAAAATGTGCGGCAACGTTTTGAGCAAGATCTTGCAAGGAGAGTCATGGTGGCCATTTTCAACGTTTACTTGCCTAACAGGTCAGTTCATTCTTCATTTTTAAATTACTTTGCTGCCAAATGTATTGTTCTCCACTAATGACGATGTATTAGTTTTATTCAAGCTTTAAATCAATAAATCTTCAAACTACTAAACTGAAGTACATTAATTTTATATCATTATAAAGGGAATTGAAAGGCCTTTAAAATAAGGTATAACTCGACCCCCTTTTCCATTTAAGATTTTAGGGTTCGTGTCATCCCCGCTCAGGGGGCTGCACGTGTTAACGTGATTTTTTGCCAAACTTGTGTCCCCCTCGAAAATAAAATCGACGGGTCTGAGCGTTTTTCAAAAAAAAAACTGAGCTGTCAGTAAATGCGTCTGTTTCGTTTTCGATGCGCCACCCTGTATAGTCGCCATATAGCGGTCTCGTGATGAATGGCCCTGCATTCCGCGGACTGGGATTCAGTCCCAACCAGTTGGCTGATTCACTGTTTGCAGTGGTCGATTTTAGAGGCAGATGGCGCTTCGCGAAGCCTGATTTCAATAAATAACTTTATGATACTCTAATGTCTAATTTTAGGGCGAATTCCATTTGACATTACGTACTTCTGTTACAGTTATATAGCGACGTGGGATTCAGTAACAGAATTATAAAATTTGCTGATCTCGTTTCACCCTACGTTGACGTTTATTTCTACCAGTATTCTTTTTTTGGTGCAATAGAAAACAAGGCTGGTCCCATAGTAGAAATGGAAGGTGAGTAACTCAGGATTGACAACCTTATTCTTATTGGGACCACACCACTGGCTTATGATTGGACCGGTCATTTCAAATAACCTATTCTTTGTATATCACCACGTAATCGACGTTGATTGCATGATCAAACAATGTTACCTGCAAGTGATGTTCGAACTTAATTAGGTCAAGGTCTCGTTGAAGCAAACAGCAGCGAGTTTGGCCGGGAAACGGGAGACTACACCTGTCCTATTTACGAGTCGAGGCCGGAACATAATTGCATAAACAACGCAAGTTCGGGACGGGTTTTGCATGCATCTCGACGGAGAGGACTTGAATGGGTTATTCCGAAACACAGTACCGCGATCCTTTGATTGTTTCATTTTCAAATTGATATGCGCCAAAGTACCAACTTGAAAATCACTAACTACAGAAATAAGGCAATGCGCGTATAGAATACCCAGTTTGCGTTTTCCGCTTTGCATGAAATCGCTTACTCAACGCTTCTTATTTGTATGATTCAGAAAGGCCTTTAAATATACGCAAAATATTTTAAAAATCTGCACGGTAGTAAAGATACAATACCTATCGTTTTTGTTGAAAAAATACATTTTCCTGTCTGGTAGTCAAATAAGCATGTGCTTTCCTCCGTAACCGATTGCCGATTATTGAACGAATGGGATGTCAAACGAGAAATTTGATTTTTCCAGGACGTTTGCTTTGCCACGGTTTGTCCTATGTATCTGAAAGATATTGAAACATGCAAAATTAAAGCATATGACATGATCATAAGTTAACATTTTAAGTATAATTCCCAATAGTAGTCAAATAAAAGTAAATGTCCCTCAAATTTCACTTTTTGGGGTTTCGGGGGATCTTGGTCATTCTTGAAAAAAAAATTGAGGGGAGAACAATCGAGGGATGGAAGCTGTAGGGATTTGGAAATTTTTGAAGTTGGTACACTTATAGGCCGCCAACCGCGGTAATTCCACACCGCTATTAGACATATTTCACTCATTATAGATTTCCCCGTTTATTTATTCCTAGAAAATTTAAATCGCACGTGGATCATATGCTTCGCGGTCATGCCGATGCATATGTGTAGCAGTCGGTCTCAGCTGCTCGACTGTATGTGGACCGTTGATCGTCATCCACGCCACATGTCCACATAGCTTCGACCCTGAGCGGCAAGAGATATCTTTATGTAAAAGCCTACAGATTTATAAAATTGTACAGAAAAACATGCTAAATATGCAAATTTCAATTGTATGAGCCTATTTGACTAACATGATCCAGCAATTTGTTTGTCAGAGGCCAACTTGAGCCGAACCTAATCGCTTATTAACTTGACGCTATTTTTTTCCATTACCTTCATTGATAATAAACTGTGATGGTTATTTGAAATTACAATTTCTCAAAACTCAAATACAATATTAAGCTCAGAAAGATGCTTTGAATCCTGTTTATTTGTCAATCATACAGTTCATTTTATGACTTAAACAGTTAAAATTGTGTGACATTCGAGTCTTTTGCAATGACCGTCTCAATTAAAGACTTGGAGCAACAAAGAACCCAAGCCACATTGACATTATTCCCAAGAATATTGATATACAGGGTGTTTCAGTTTATTGTTGCATAACTTTAAGATTCGATAGAACTTTTAAAATTAATGCATAAAGTCTATATAAACATGGGTCGAAAAATGCGTGGCTTCCGAAATACAGGGTGTTTAAATTTACTTTCTAAAATAGTTTTTTTTTAAATATTTCGAACAATATTTGATGCATAACAGTGAAAATTGGAGTACAAAGGTTTTTTGGTACGACAAAACGAACCATGGGCATAGTTTACTGTAGCCGCTAGAGAGCGCTCTCTACTGTACCTGTAGTGTATTGAAATGACTGAACATTTTTTCTTAGTGCAATTTTTTGCTTTTTGAATAAAAAAAATTAATTCTTCGCACTTTTCAACATAAAAAAGCTCCCTTGTGAATTTTCGTTATAGTTAGCCGTTTATGAGATATATCGATTTTTAAGGTTCGATGCATTTTTAATTAGTTATGATAAAATAACGTTAAAAAGTCAGTATCTCGATAATTTTTAGAAGTAGGCTATGCCTGCAAAATATTTTTGAAATTGAAAGCAGAATAAGGTTAAACGTGAATTAGTTGACAGTTAGTTTTGTTGTCTGTTGAAACCTGAAACGTTTTTTGCAATTGTGAATGCACGAAATTTAGTTTCTTTTACCTGTTTTTTTTTTGTAAGTTTTACAAATTTTTATTCTCCAATCAAGAGTTAGCGGATATTCATTTGTGTATGGCTTTGTAAATGGAAACGCAGCAGAAGCAGCCAGAGAATACGCACGAAGATTTCCAAACAGACGACATCCAACTCGCTCAGTATTTGTAAGAGGGCATCGCCAAATAATTGAAAATGGTTTTGGAAATCTCCAAAGGGATCAAAACATAAATGTTCGTCAGCGCAGATTTACCCGTATGATTCTGCGTGAGTTTGATAGAGATCCGACCACAAGTGTTAGGAGAGTTTCTGGTGCCTTGGGAATTTCAGCAAGCCATGTTCACCGTGTTCTTAGAAATGACGTCCTTACCATTTGCAACCTGTGCAAGGACTACAGCCAGGGGACGGAGAACGAAGAATCACATTTTGTCAGTGGATTCTTGATAGAACTGATAATAATAGGGAGCTTTTAAGTAACGTTTTATGGACCGATGAGTCATGCTTCACTAGACGTGGAGTGGTAAATTTTCATAATCAACATATTTGGTCGCATGAAAATCCGCATGCAGTTCGGGAAAGAAATTTTCAACATGAATTTAGTGTGAACGTGTGGATTGGTATCTACCGTAATCGACTATTTGGACCCTACCTCTTGCCTGCAAGGTTAAATGCTGCGACCTTCTTGGAATTTTTAAAGGCTGAAGATGCAAATATTTTGGATGATGTTATGTTAGATTTAAGAAGATTGGCCTGGTTCCAGCTTGATGGTTGTCCAGCTCATTATTCGAGAACAGTTAGAAACTGGCTGGACGAACATTATCCAGAAAGATGGATCGGCCGTGGAGGACCAGTCGCCTGGCCTCCACGATCCCCTGGCGTAAATAGATTAGATTTCTTTGTGTGGGGAGTTCTAAAAGAAAAAGTGTACCAGACTCCCGTAACCACAAGAGATATGCTAATAGACAGAATCAGGAATGCATGTGTTGAAATAAGGCCTTATTTGAATAATGCTATACCACGTTCGATCATTCGTAGATGTGAATTGTGTATTGAACAATTGGGTTTATATTTCGAGCAACTACTTTAGATTTTGTATGTTTGTCCTAACTATCCAATAGCATTTTAGTTGTAAATAATTAATTTAATTTGTTAAAAATAATATTGGAAAATTAAACAAATTAATATTCTGTTTTTTTGTGTTTATTTGGAGTTAGGAATTATTGCTGTGTTTAAGAATACAATCTAAACGATCATCTTAATTACTTGTAATGCCCAAATCGAAAATGTAAAAAAAATATTATTGTCCCATAAATAATTAAAAATGCATCCAACCTTAAAATCGAAATATCTCAAAAACGGCTAACTATAACGAAAATTCACAAGAGAGCTTTTTTATGTTGAAAAGTGCGAAGAATCAGTTTTTTTATCCAAAAAGCAAAAAATTGCACTAAGAAAAAATTTTCGGTCATTTTAATACACTACAGGTATAGTAGAGAGCGCCCTCTAGCGGCTACAGTAAAACTATGCCGATGGTTCGTTTTGTCGTACCAAAAAACCCTTGTATACCAATTTTCACTGTTATACATCAAATGTTGTATTTTAGAAAGCAAATTTGAACACCCTGTATTTCGGAAGCCACGCATTTTTCGACCCATGTTTATATAGACTTTATGCATTAATTTTAAAAGTTCTATCGAATCTTAAAGTTATGCAACAATAAACTGAAACACCCTGTATAAGACTTATGTTGATCCTGAAATCACCTTTTCTGCGCAATTCCGATTAAAATGTAGCGGTATGTTCAATCTGGTGGCGACAGGATCCAAAAGGTGTGACGCATCTTCATAAAACAAATTCCTAGATAAATGTCAGTATTTAAAGTGGAGATTTTTGGGTCCATTTTAAACTTAAGAAATGTTTATATGAACGTATGTCCTAAACGTTTCAAATTATCTCTCACTTTTTATTCAAATGTGGCTAAGGTCCTTGTTCCCACAAGCGATTGATTTCAAATTCGTGTCCAGCGTGAAAAAGTACACTAGTACATCAATCGGTAGCAGTGGTTGTTAGTGGTATTCTAGTCACAACTGTTCTACAGGGTGTTCATTTGAAAGCTTCCCATCACGGATTTATCGAAAACCGCTAATTAAAAGAAAAAACGCCGATACACTTCACCCCCCTAACCCTCGGCTCCCCATTCCTTAAAAAATCTTAAGTGACAAGGATTACCAACTAAGAGCTTGTCTGGAGACAATTTTGTTCTGAAGTTTGATTCTTTAAATCAGTCCATGAGAATTAAAAAAATATTTATTTTAGTTTGTTCAGATAGTAATCAAAAACATACGAGAATATCACTTTTAATTTCGATAAGTGTTCAAAATGTTGTTCGTTAGGGTTTGCCAAAACTACAATTCGTTTATAATTTAAAACGGAAACTACCAACATTAGGCGTGGCAACAACCAAATAACAATGCGAATTTTTTTCCGCATTCTTTTCATCAACACAGATATTCTGCGCGAACCGAATTAATTGTTATACATTTTTCGCTATTTGTTGCTAAGGGGAAGAAAGAATTCAATTTGCTGTCAGCTTTGGATGAAGCCGCTCAAGTTGACGTTTCGGGTCATTTTGGAATAAATCCTAATACTTCATTACGCAAAATTGTTGCTGCGACAGGTACTTCATTAGGCTCTGTACACACAGTTACTAAGCTCCATAAATTTCATGCAATGGCTAAACGACTGGTACCCAGATAAATGGATAGGCCGAAGAGTGGCTAAAGAATGGCGCCATTTGAAATCTATTTATTGTGCTTACTCCCCAACCTATAAGTTTGGATGAACTTTGTCAATGCATCATTCAAAGCTGCCAGGATATCCCACAACATGTTTTTGAAAATGTTCGTCAGACATTTGAAGATCGTCTATATCATTGTATGGCCAATAACGGACAACATTTTGAACACTTTTTTTCTTGAAAACGAATCGACCGATTTTAAGAAATCAAACGTTAAAATAAAAGACCTCGAAAGACCTTTCAAACAACTTGTTACTCGATATCGCTTGCTATTCAAATTTTTGCAGTGGATGACCCTGGGGGCAGAGGGTGAAAGAAGGTGGCTTAGTTATTGAAATTGTTCCCCTTGGCAAATCTTTTGACGTGTCTTGGCATTTGGTGGCAAGTTTTCGAATGAACTTTTCACTCTTTGCTCTATGGAAAGCCTAGCTAACTACACAAGTCTCTGCCTCAGCCTTCCGTTATGAGTTATACTAAGGTACTGCTGTACTCTGATCTTCTGAATAGAGTTCACATCCTATTAATGTTGGTGTTTCACGTAATTTACTATGTAATTTACTTATCATCCTGTATCATCCAACCATACCTCTGCAAGGTGCTAAGTGATTAAAGTTATTGAAAATTTCAGGGCTAGGTAAAGCGGCTCATTGTGCAGAGCTGCCATATATAATTTGGTATAAACTGGATGGGGATACCACGGTGTACCCTGAAGCTGATATGAGAGTGCGTCGTATTGTATCTGACTTGTTTGGAAATTTCATTAAGTACCAGTAAGTATTATCAGCGTAGCTTAGTACCAGTGGGCAACATTATAAACAATGGAAAGCAAATATGTGATTCTAAATTGCGTAACTATCATACTCCCTGAAGTATAGTCAGAAAAACTAAAAACGATAAATTTACGCTATAGTTTTAAATTCTAGTGCCTATGAATATAAAATACAAGAAACATACATTTATTCATTAAATGAATAATAGGTACTTATTTGTATCAAATATATAAAAGAGTAAGGATTCAGTTGGAAATAACATGATTTTAATCTTAACCTTTCCAGTTGATCCGGATTTTAGGAATCTACAGGGTGTTTCAGTTTATTGCTGCATACCTTTAAGATTCGATGGAACTTTTAAAATTAGTGCATAAAGTCTATATAAACATGGTTCGAAAAATGCGGTTTAAATTTACTTTCTAAAATAGTTTCTTTTTAAATATTTCGAACAATATTTGATGTATAACAGATAAAATTGGTATACAAGGGTTTTTTGGTACGAAAAAACGAACCATGGGCACAGTTTTACTGTAGCCGCTAGAGGGCGCTCCGTACTGTACCTGTAGTGTATTAAAATGACCGAAAAATTTTTCTTAGTGCAATTTTTTGCTATTTGAATGGAAAAACTGATTCTTCGCACTTTCAACATAAAAAGCTCTCCTGTGAGTTTTCGTTATAGTCAGCCGTTTTGAGATATTTCGATTTTTAAGGTTCGATGCATTTTCAATTATTTATGGGAAAATAATATTTTTTTACATTTTCGATTTGGGCATTACGAGTAATTAAGATGATCGTTTAGATTGTGTTTTTAAACACAGCAATAATTCCTAACTCCAAATAACACAAAAAAACAGAATATTAATTTGTTCAATTTTTCAATATTATTTTTAACAAATTAAATTAATTATTTACAACTAAAATGCTATTGGATAGTTAGGACAACATACAAAATCTAAAGTAGTTGCTCGAAATGTAAACCCAATTGTTCAATACACAATTCACATCTACGAATGATCGAACGTGGTATAGCATTATTCAAATATGGCCTTATTTCATCACATGCATTCCTGATTCTGTCTATTAGCATATCTCTTGTGGGTACGGGAGTCTGATACACTTTTTCTTTTAAAAATCCCCACACAAAGAAATCTAATGGATTTAGGTGAGGGGATCGTGGAGGCCAGGCGACTGGTCCTACACGGCCGATCCATCTTTCTGGATAATTTTCGTCCAGCCAATTTCTAACTATTCTCGAATAATGAGCTGGAGAACCATCAAGCTGGAACCAGGCCAATCTTCTTAAATTTAACATAACATCATCCCACATATTTGCATGTTCAGCCTTTAAAAATTCCAAGAAGGTCGCAGCATTTAACCTTGCAGGCAAAAGGTAGGGTCCAAATAGTCGATTACGGTAGATACCAATCCACACGATCACACTAAATTCATGCTGAAAATTTCTTTCCCGAACTGCATGCGGATTTTTCATGCGACCAAATATGTTGATTATGAAAATTTACCACTCCACGTCTAGTGAAGCATGACTCATCGGTCCATAAAACGTTACTTGAAAACTCCCTATTATTATCAGTTCTATCAAGAATCCACTGACAAAATGTGATTCTTCGTTCTCTGTCCCCTGGCTGTAGTCCTTGCACAGGTTGCAAATGGTAAGGACGTCTATGGTCATTTCTAGGAATACGGTGAACATGGCTTGCTGAAATTCCCAAGGCGCCAGAAACTCTCCTAACACTTGTGGTCAGATCTCTATCAAACTCACGCAAAATCATGCGAGTAAATCTGTGCTGACGAACATTTATGTTTTGATCCATTTGGAGATTTCCAAAACCATTTTCAATTATTTGGCGATGCACTCTTACGAATACTGAGCGAGTTGGATGTCGCCTGTTTGGAAATCTTCGTGCGTATTCTCTGGCTGCTCCTGCTGCGTTTCCATTTACAAAGCCATACACAAAATGAATATCCGCTAACTCTTGATTGGAGAATAAAAATGGCATTTTTATAAACTTACAAAAGAAAAAACAGGTAAAAGAAACTAAATTTCGTGCATTCATAATTGCAAAAAAAAACGTTTCAGGTTTCAACAGACAACAAAACTAACTGTCAACTAATTGACGTTTAACCCTATTCTGCTTTCAATTTCAAAAATATTTGCAGGCACAGCCTACTTCTAAAAATTATCGAGATACTGACTGTTTAACGTTATTTTATCATAAATAATTAAAAATGCATCGAACCTTAAAAATCGAAATATCTCAAAAACGGCTAACTACTATATAACGAAAATTCACAAGAGAGATTTTTTATGTTCAAATGTGCGAAGAATCAGTTGTTTTATTCAAAAAGCAAAAAATTGCACTAAGAAAAAATTTTCGGTCATTTTAATACACTACAGGTACAGTAGAGAGCTCCCTCTAGCGGCTACAGTAAAATTATGCCCATGGTTCGTTTTGTACCACCAAAAAACTCTTGTATACCAATTTTTACTGTCATACGTCTAATATTGTTCTAAATATTTAAAAGAAACTATTTTAGAAAGTAAATTCAAACACCCTGTATTTCGGAAGCCACGCATTTTTCGACCCATGTTATATAGACTTTATGCATTAATTTTAAAAGTTCTATCGAATCTTAAAGTTATGCAACAATAAACTGAAACACCCTGTATAACGTTCACCACCTTTTTGGTCGTACATTTTGCTTTCTTTGACTCATTTTGTTGTTTTCATATTAAAAATAAGTAGAGTCCAAACGTTATGGTCAATACAAGCTCGCCACCTGACGAGGCCGAAAACGTTTGCAGAGATTTGGAGTTTGCGGCAAGTGCTAAGCGAGCGAAACGCTGCATATATACTCGTATAACGGGTACGGAACATAGTTATATGAAATTACGTATTCCAGGAATCCAACGCCAGAGAGAGATGCTCAGCTGCAGAACATTATATGGCCGAGTTTGACTCAGAGCGGCTACAGTTCTTGGATATAGACCACAATTTGACCGTTAAAGAAAATCCACGTGGGTACCGACAAACCAGAAAACTGATATACTGAAAGCAGTGTTATAGATGGCTATAGAGGTGAAAAAGAAGAAAATTCGTACAAACAGATGCGATCTGAAAATTGTTTTCAGAATAATTAATATTTGACATTGTTATTAAGAAGCTTCAGATGATGAAGTTGTGCTGTCTTAAGTGGTACGAGGGATGTCTTTTAAGTTTTGCATATGGAAATAAAACAACACGGTAGGTAGTTTTAAATGACTTTGCATGCGCTCAATCCAATTTTCGAAGCACTTATTCCACTTGTTTGCTGGCATATCCAAAACGGCATTTTTGAATGCGTCAACTGCTTCTTCTGGTGACTGGAACCTTTGACCACGCAGTCTGTTTTTAATTTTCGGGAAAGTAAAGAAATCGTTAGGACTTAGATCGGGACTATATGGAGGATGATACAAAAACTCCACGTTTTCTTCCGTTAAATACTGCCTTGTTTTTTGGGCTGTGTGCGAGCTTGCATGTCTTGGTGGTGGATGATTCTTCTTTCGGGGTTGATTTTTCGAAGCTCGGTGATGACTTTTGGCAAACAAATGGTGGTATGCCAATCCGCAGTAACAGTTCTTTGCTCATGAAGAGGAATAGTTGCAATATGACCCGCTTTTGACACAAACGTCGCGACCATCTTTTTCGAAACACTTCGAGAACGGACGACTTTTGTTGGCTTTTATTCACCTTGGAGCACCCAAATAGCCGACTATCGTTTATTTTCTTGTTCATAACAGTAAATCCACGATTCGTCACCACTATCAATGCTGTACACATTTTTTGAGTTTACGGAATTTAAACGGTCAAGCGTTTTTTGACACCAATTAACCCTGGCTGCTTTCTGCCCTTCAGTCAACAGGTGGGGTATCCAACGAGAAACTAATTTTCTTACTCCTAATTCGTCATGTAAATTTTTCTGAATTGAGGTTTATGAGATCTTCAAGGACGCCTCAATCTCGCGATATATCACATGTCTATCTTCAATGATGAGTTTGCGCACAACATCCACGTTTTCCTTGGTGCACCCGTCCTGGAATCGTCGCTAAGACTCACCCGTCCACGTTTGAATTCTCCATACCAACGGGAAATTGTCGACTGATGTGGCGCTTCGCTGCCGAAAACAGACAGTAACTCAGCAAGGCATTCTTGTTGCGACAATTGTCTCTGAAAGTTGTAATAAATTATGGCGCGAAAATGTACTCGGTTGAGTTCCATTTTTCTAATGACTTGGTGATACTTAAAAATTCACTGTAGTGAGAACACATTGTTGTGAAACTTTGAATTTAAGCTTAAAAGGGTGAAGTTAAGATTCAGTACTGACGTTCGACCCGCGTGGCTTACCATGTTTCTATATGCAAAACTTAAAAGACATCCCTCGTAACACCGCTGCAACGGCTTAAAAAGGTGATTTTAATGTATTTTTTATGGAATGTATGGTAATAAAAGGACGAAGTTATTGAGCATATAAATCGGTAACAAGAAGATATCGTAAAAGGTATTGGAAAATGTCACTTTCGCGAGGCACATTTGAGGCGCAGTGTAGCTGCTGCAAATTTGGGCCAAGAAAAAAGAAGCAAACACAAATTATTGTACGTCTATAGCCAAAGAAATATGTAGGGGATTTATAAATTTTGCTTGCGATCAATTTAAACGAAAAAAGCAATATTTTTTATTAAATAATAATTAAGGTTCCCCTACGTATTTCTCTTCAAATCTTTCAAAAAGATAACAATTGTTACAGTTTTGAAGCGTGCATTTTAAAAAATTGTGTCTTAAGAGTAACGCCATGTAATAGCTACTTACAATATTATTATTTCATTACCATTCCTTCCACAAAAAATTACAAAAAACGCTGCTTTACGCCATGATCGTGGTGTTAACGATTAAGGATATAACTGGCTCACATTGCATAGAAGGTCGGAAACAAAGCAAGAGAAAAGCTTTAAACCAATTTCATGTTTCAGGTTGACAATGTTTGTGGTAATAAGTTGATCGAAATCAGCAAGTGAGAACTATCGATTCAGATACTTATTATAATATGAATACTCAAAACTATTAAGAGAATAATATTTATTATACTGTTTGCATCATGAATGATTATAATATGTAAAGTACCCTAGTTTCTTCTGGAAGTTTTCAATCGATTCCAATTTTTTACCTCCCACGTCAATTTGCTAGGAATTATATACCTATTGTATTGTAATAGCTAAAACAAGATATTATGTTTTTTGGATTTAACATGATATATTCCAAAAATGTAAGCTTATGATGGCCACACTTAGCTATCATGTAAGATTTATAATTTATTGTATATTGATAACATAAACTTATCGTCTTTGATAAAAATCTTATTTGAAAAATAAATTTCTTAATTGGTAGACAAGAGACAAGATAGCTAGTAGAAATGGCCTACTAATAATCGTTACAACGCTAGTGCTACTTTCCCTTACCCTTCTAGAGTGTTAGTTAGTATTTATATGTGCCAAACATTTTGCTCTTAGCAAAGCTTAGTATTAAATCATAAAAGTAAAACCTTCCCGTGCACAACCGACCATTTTGGATTCAACGGGCTTTACGTGATATTTCAGCAATAAGCATGTTTATCTAAAATACTGTACGTATTATGTTTCTCTTTCTTACATTTATTTAACATTTATTGTTTGTTTGTCACACCAGCTGATTGTATTTAACAGAATAAACGTTAACTTTTAATGTCACGTACTTCTGTTAAGGGGTGATAGATTAGGTCAAAAGCAACCGATTTGTCCTATAATGTCCTATCCAGAATTTAACCGTTTTTGAGTTATTTGAATTTTTTTTTATTCCGATTTCAGACGGTTAAATTGGAATACAAAAAACTACATGTTTGATTCTGAGTCTTTATTATTGTCGCATAATAAGTAATAAAATGTTGAAAACTACAAAAGTTTTAAAACTACGCTTTTGAAACGTATGATTTTCTTATTTTTTTACTAACTTATTCGATAAAAAATGCAATTTTCTGTTAAAAATCTCCTAGTAATGAAATGTGCAAATATGTAAATAATATCTCTATCTAACAAGCTTTCATTTGAGGTATTAAGCGTTCAATTATCTAAAGTAGATGCAGAGAAACAACAATGATACCCACAGAGGCAGGATTTTTAAGGAATTTGTGATACCTCTATTGAACAAGTCGTTACTGTCCTCAAAGGACTCGCATGCCATGATTGTTTTATGGCATCGGCTCGACGAGGACGCTAGCGAGAAGAGCTGACCTAGTGGAGGAGTGAGAGAGAGAGAGAGAGCTGTTATTATTCATCATTGTAGTTACGCCATCGGCGCAAGCCGAGTGAGAATTAGGTTTAGTTGGTATCAACTATTGCGTACGTGCACACGTTTTACGCACGATTTTTTTTAGAGTTTCCCAGTTCATTTCGAGTGATGTAATGAAATGTGCAAATTATGTAAATAATATCTCTATCTAACAAGCTTTCATTTGAGGTATAAAAGTTACAACTAACTCAAGTACAAAGATATAAAATTAAAAATAGGTGAGTAAAGTTGTACGAACGATAATTACGTAGGATAAATAAAAGGCTTTTATTTTAAATACAATTTTATTTAATTACATTTCCTTTAGTATTTTACAGGTTCTGCTCAAATTGTAATCCCCTGTAACGAATACACGCCCGCATTCTCTTACGTAATTCACTTTTGGTAACTCTAGTTGTTAAGCGGCTTTTTATTTGGTCAGCTGCACTGATTATTCTTGTAACTAATTCATCGCGCCTTGGTACGGGCGAAACATCGTACACCAGGCTTTTCATATGTCCCCACACATAGTAATCCATCGGTGTGAGATCTGGGCTTCTTGCTGGCCAGGCAATGGGCCCGCCTCTGCCAGTCCATTGATTTGGAAATTTAAAGTCTAAATACGCCCGTACTAATCTGCTGTTGTGTGCGGGATAGCCGACGTGCTGGAACCACATATTTTGTCTCGTCGCCAATGGGACGTCTTCCATTAATGGAAACAAGTTATTTTTCAAGAACTCTTCATACACTTCTCCATTTAAATTGGCGGACAGAAAATGAGGTCCAATTGAATATCCATCAACGATGTCCATCCACACATTGACTGAAAACCGGCTCTGAGACCCCGTCGGTCTTATTTTTCGGGGGTGTAAAGCTTCCTTAACTGCCCAGTAATGAGCATTATGGTAGTTAGTGATCCCGTCCTTATCAAACTTCGATTCGTCGGTCCACAGAATTTTCTTAAAATAGTCTGGATCTTCTGTATCTGCATGTAACATATACCTGCAGAAATCTAATCGCCTTGCAGGATCGCCCTTGCAGTATACACAGTAAACCATACTTTGTATTGTGATACACCCAACTGAGCAGCCACAATGCGCGTAGATGTAGTAGGGTCTTCCTGAAACACACGAAGGATTTCCTCTTCATCTTGAGGAGGTTAGACTCGGGGTCGACCAGCATCACTATGTTGCCTTTGAACACGTCCGGTTTGGCGGATGCGCCGATACACAGAGTCAAACACAGTAACATGAGGTGTGCGGCGATTCGGGAAACGTTGCCGATATTCACGGCGGCAAGCTGCAGAATCGCCGTTACAAAGTCCATAACAGAATATTATGTCTGCGTATTCTTCATTTGTAAAAGTTTGCCCGTGCTCGCTATGGCGAGGTCCTGGCGGACCTTCTGCGTCTGCCATGATGATAAACAAACCACTCGAAATGAACTGGGAAACTCGAAAATAATAATCGTGCGCGTACACAGTAGTTGATGCCAACTAAACCTAATTCTCACTCGGCGTGCGGCGATGGCGCGTAACTACAATGATGAATATAACAGCGCTCTCTCTCTCTCACTCCTCCACTAAGTCAGCTCTTCTCGCTCGCTTCCTCGTCGAGCCGATGCCATAAAACAATCATGGCATGCGAGTCCTTTGAGGACAGTAACGATTTGTTCAAACAGGTAATACAAATTCCTTAAAAATCCAGCCTCTGTGGGTGTCATTGTTGTTTCTCTGCATGTACTTCAGATAATTGAACGCTTAATACCTCAAATGAAAGCTTGTTAGATAGAGATATATTTACATAATTTGCACATTTCATTACTAGGAGATTTTTTACAGAAAATTGCATATTTTATCGAATAAGTTAGTAAAAAAAGAAAATGATACATTTAAAAAGCGTAATTTTAAAACGTTGTAGCTCAACATTTTATTATTATGAACTATTGGAATGTCTGCTATGCGACGATAACAAAAAACTCAAAATCAAGCATGCAGTTTTTTTGTATTTCAATTTTAACTGTTGAAATCGGAATAAAAAATAAAAAACTTAAAATTCAAATAACTCAAAAATGGTTAACTTTTGGATAAGACATGATAGGACGAAATCGGTTGCTTTTGACCTAATCAATCACCCCTTAACAGGAATACGTGACATTACAAGTCACCCTGTATACATCACGAGAAACCATCATCATCACCAATTTCTGTCTCTTTGTCTGTCTGATTTTGATGAACTTTTTGAAAACCGTTTCAGTGGCGGTGGAGATACTGGCAAAATATGAAAAAAATATAAATCACACACTGTTGATTTTTTGACATTTTATAGGCTCGTCCATCATTGGAACATTTTTAAATGATGAAATATGGGCGGCGTGAGGCTGTAGGGGCTCAGGCGTAAGTATTTTTATACGCTTCCGGCGCTGGTAGTTCTGGACGCCTGTATACTTCAGAAATAATTATTTAAAAAATTATTGTCGCACAACAAAATATTATTAATGTGTGCTGAGATATAATCTTATCTGGCTTCAAGATTCGATAGAACTTTTAAAATTAATGCATAAAGTCTATATAAACATGGGTCGAAAAGTGCGTGGCTTCCGAAACACAGAGGTTTAAATTTACTTTCTAAAGAGTTTTTTTAAATATTTCGAACAATATTTGATGTATAACAGTGAAAATTGGTACACAAGGGTTTCTTGGTACGATAAAACGAACCATGGGCATAGTTTTACTTATGCCGCTAGAGGGCGCTCTCTACTGGACCTGTAGTGTATTAAAATGACAAAAAATTTTTCTTAGTGCAATTTTTTTTTTTGCTTTGAATAAAAAAACTGATTCTTCGCACTTTTCAACATAAAAAAGCTCTCTTGTGAATTTTCGTTATAGTTAGCCGTTTTTGAGATATTTATTTTTAAGGTTC